CACGAATATTGCAATGCCTAAAAGTTCGCTGTCGTTTAGATAAAATCAATAATGTATTTTACCAGAGAAATTATTATAAAAACTAATTATTGTTGAACTATTTTCTTACAACATAAAGGGTATAGTATAGTAAGGGTATAGGTATAGTACTGTCATAATGTCGAGAATTTCACCAGCGCAAGACCTAACCTTTGATCAAGCGCGGCGTGTACTAGATGATTTCACGATTAAAGAATCGAGAAGCGAAAGTGAAATATTAAATTCTTATCGCGTAATAGAGGTACATTTCCACAAAAAAAATGGTCAATGGTTTTTCAGAAAAGTTATCTATACTAATATAATAAAGCCAAAGAGTTTTTTGTTTAAACGCGCTAATTTCAGGAATCACTGGTCCGAATTGACAAAATCTATATGTTTATGTTGGTTTGCCAATTATCGAGGAAGAATATAAAACAAAAGGCTGTCCAACAAACGGTTACTCATGACATTTAAGATCTAAAAGCTACATGAGAGAAATTACAGCTTTTTTGTGGCTCGCCGAATTCTCACCATCGCCATCGCTGCGTTTGTTCTTCAAATAAAAGGAGAAGATATAAAAAAAAATTTAGTTTAAAAGTATTAGATGAAACATAATTTCAATAATTATATAAGAATATATAAGAAGTTAGAACAAAATGTTGAATAATTGGATTAAAAAAGGTGTTGTAAATAATAGTTTTAAATTTTCAAATAAAGTTTTATAAAAAAATATTCCGAAATAAAAGGGGGACCTCGGGGGACCACGTCGCCTGGGAGTAGGCCAACTAGAAAAAAGGAACCGAGTGTCTCAAATCTTTCATAGCTTAAGCTCAGCGAGTGAACCGAGTTTTACTAGCAAACCTTTTATTATAATATCACTATATGAAATATAATAATTTCAACGTCAACATTCTAAAGCGAATAACCGAGTCTAATACAAGAATTAAAAACCTTTAATAATATAGCATTATAATATATATATATAATAACAATATATATAATAACAATATATATAATAGCAATATTAGCATTAGCTAATAATTAATCTCTCATCAAATAACACGAACTGTACTCTGATAAGATAGTAAAGTTTTACATTTCTACTAATCCTATCGAATATCAAACATAAGCCAATCAACCATTACATGATCAAACTACTAAACCGATTATAACAGTAATAAAAATCGACCTTCGATAATAGACTATCAAATAAACTGGCAAACATGCGCGCGCGCATAAAAATTCCAACAACATAACGGACAGAACAATCGACAATAATCTGATTCATTCTGAGCACGTAATAGGGTACAGGAAAGGTGTAGCTTAAGTATTTTAACTTAGAATGTCGTAAAGGAAGATTCGAAGTAAAGGTTTATTAAAAAATCACTTTTCTTTGTTAAACTGTATACCTAAGGGTTTAGCTATACAGCTATTTTGTGATAGCGGAACGATTTCTCAATTACGTGCTTTATTGCACGAAAACCCAAATTTGTTTAATATATATTCGTTGCTAAAAAGGCTAAGAGGCTTATTACTTTTATATAAGGTGCATATTTTTCTGTCTTTAATTTAAGACGGGGTTCCTTAAGAGTAGTCCTGTCTTTAGGTGTAATTTTATAATTATTAAAATTTTTAGTTAGGTCATTTTTTTCCTCTCCTTAGTGCATAACTGCTTTTAATAGATTAATATTCTAAACAGTTAGGTATAGGTAATACAGCGTAGGGTTCAAATAATGTAATCTTAATAATACGTTACTATATAATATCATATAATAAAAATAGTTTGAAATAAAAGTAACGCGTTGATGTCTTTTATAAAGAGAAAGCGACTTTTACAAGAATACGAAATACTTTAAAATATATTTTTTTTTTCTCACTAGATAATCATATAAATACTAATTAGGGCGTATATTAATGTGTTTCTACTTTCGATTTAGTAATCACGTAATATAGGATATTATTTCTCAAATACGACCATTTTTTTTTTAATAAATTGAAATCTGCAAATGCTAATCCGTCACTCCACTAGCCCATATAGCAGATTGGTAGTCCCCAAAAGGTCCCTAACCCCCATTAAAAGGCCCTATTCAAGAGCGAGGTCAACCGCGCGACCCTCAGGCCATATACGGCGGGGCCTAATGGGACATCGATACTCACTGTAAGGCTGTATTTACATTCCTTTCAATCATTTTGCGAAAATTGTTTTCGTGTTTCACTATGTTACTGTATTTGTGTCTTTTTCAACTGAGACTTATATAATAATGATCTTGCAACTTAAGACTGTAATACATAGACCCTAGCTATTATGAGTACTAGGACAATGAGCAAGCTCAAAGGTATGTTAAAAATGTTTTAAATATAGGTAAAGCGATACAAAACTTGGTTAAGACTATCTCACGAGTCTCATGATTAAGTAAGTAACAGTTTGCTTTACAAAAGAATCGAAAATAAAATAAACGAAAGAGTTATCGGTCCATCCGATCCAACTAAAAGTCTCCTCGTTCTCTTCGTACAAATACTATAACAGCATTAAAACGAATAAACAACATACGTAACGTTGGAATCGTTCCAAACGCAGTAAGTTGTACTAGGGCAGTACACAACTACAACACGACCGAGCGTAGGTGACTAATATTTACTTCGCGAGATTGAATTGACTGTGTCTCACCACCAGAAATCCCAACCCTGACGGCATTTCAAAATAACAAGTTGTCAATAACCATCTGCCATCTCTCAATGACAGTTTGTCGAACGTAAATGGCACTATATCGACTATAATCAAGGTACAATTGTTACTTGACGTTTCCGCATATCCCTAATAGCTTAAATAGATGGCAGCACTGCGACATATATATGAAGGATGATTCTTTTCATAAATATCGTGTGCACTAATCCTCATGGCTATTGAAAAACGTGTCACCATTAAAACCTATTGAATACATCTTAAATAGTAGTTTCAAGGTAACGCCGATACTTTATCTCGCCATACAGCAATATATGGTCAAGATGATATTCATGTGCCATTCTATTTATGAGCTCCTAGTACCTGATTTTTAATTTGGCTTTGAAATTTGCGTGTATAAGAATTATGATGACTTCTTGATTTTATGAAGACCTGGTAGAATTCGTAACATAACTTTAAATAAAGATGATTTTTTGCACCTACTCTTTTTAATAAGTCAGTCAATGGCTCCTTTAGGTGCGGTTCGACTCGTACTTTGCCTTAATTATACATTAAACAAAATTTAATTGTTTGTTGAGAATTAACACGTTATCTCTTTGTCGCACATCATTAAAACATATTATTATTTAATTGCATATTAATAACGATAAATGATGACTAGATTTAAAAACACCAGAGGGCATCAACTATATTTTTATGCCTTGCCTTGCCCCCACATTGCATTTACAGAAATTAATGTTGCCATATAAAACCAATGTCAATCAATGCGTGTTTATCAGCTTTAATACAGCTATAATATATGAATTTGAAGTCTTGACTTATTTAAAAAAATGTGCCTGCAATAATATCTACTACGTGCTTTATAAATAAATCGTATAATCTAGAACGATATATTTTTAAGTTCATAAGTATGTATATATTTAAAAAAAACACTATTTACTGTATTTTTTTAATTAAGTTCACTATTTAGTTAAATTGTGTTTTAGCCATTATCATATTTGACAACAGGAAGTTCAAAATGCCACAAATTCAAGATGCAAAATGTTCTTCCTAGTTTACTGTAATGGGCTATATTTTAATTATAACGTACCATAAATTCTACGCCTTCCGCAATTATCGCTTAGATTGAATTTAGCTAAATGGCGATATAGATTCATTAACTACTAAAAATTAAATATCCCTGGTTATTCGGTTTTACTAGAAATATGTATAAATGTTCTAGTAAACATCGACATATTCAGTAAAATAGGGCACAGTTATTTCGATAGATACACACAATAGGTACTCGCGTAAACTACATTTAAATAAAACACTTTAACTAACTTAATATATTAGTAAAACTTTTTTGAAATTTATTTTTAACTTCGGCCCGATGTTTCGCGTGCTTTGCAGCAGCCATCATGCGGAGACTAAGTTTAATATATATATATAGCGTTTTAAAGCGTTAAAGTGTATTCAAATGTGTACTACTCGCGCAAACTACAGTATTTACGTAAACTTTAGTTAAGGATTAGTCTACTTATTGTAATAGTATTTTGTTTGTCATCCCGTACATGCCTACGAAAGATTACACACCACTTAACGCCCCAAAAAAAAAACATACTCATAATTATCTATTGTATGAAACTCGAAAGCTTTTATCACTATTACAAATAGACTATTCAAAAATTGAATTTAATTATTTTGTCATTACCGAACGATGACGTAACAGAAAAAGGAAGACTTATCACACACGAGTACCCAGCCTGGCAATTCTTAAATGTTACGTCACAAAACATTTAGTCCAACATTAGGCATATATTATGTCAGATTTGTTTAAGGTAAAAAGTTGGAATATTATTCCACGTCATGTGAGAAATACCTTACTGAAATTTTACATTCGAATTGACAAAATTGCATGACATATATATATATATATATATATATATATATATATATATATATATGTGTGTGTCATGCAATTTTGTTAATTTGAATGTAAAATTATTACGTAAACGAATATTCGTTTACGTAATAATGTCATCCTCAACAATGCTATTATATTTCTAAAGCTATTTATGTAGTTATAATTTTTTATTAAATACGGACTATCTAAATATATATTAAAGGTACGTACTAACTAAACTATAAAGTGTGAAATCCCATTTTCGTATATTGTTATCCCGGAATTCGAACCCAGAACCTTTTGTACGCGCAATGCTAGGCAACCCTTTTAAACATTTAGATTCAAGTGCAGTCAAACTAAATACAGAAATTGACAATAACCTAACTTTTATCAACTTAAGCATTAATTACTCACCATCATAAGAGTCAGGGATGTACAGCGGTTTCCCCACCAGCTTCCCCTTCTTCCCCGACAGCGGCACCGCTTCGACCCGCCTGTGCGCCTCCAGCACACGATACAACAACACAGCCCTGTTTTCACCGTCCAGTCTCACAACACGAGGTAAAGAGAACTTATCAACAAACTCCTTCAAGGTCAAAGGTTCACTGTCGTCTTCCGGTTCCACTGAGTTATTCCGTCTACCGAGGAGGAAGTTATCGGCCCACTCCGACGGTCTTCGATCCAGGTATTCCAGTCTGCGTTCGCTGGACCTCGGTTTGTACCTGGGCGGTCTATCGCGGCGCACCAAAGCCTCGTTAGCCTCAGCCAACCAGCGAGTTACCAGTCTTTCCCTTTCTACATCTAGATACCGTGGTTTTGAAGCGTCGCTGGCGAAGCGGGCCGCGTCGAAGCAGTACTGCGGTGGTGGCGGGCGGATTCGCGGCGGGAAGAAGCGAGGTGGAACGTAGGGCGGGTGCGGGGCGTAGGCGGGCGGCGTCCTCGGCCCGGAGCCTTCGACTGACGCCGTGCGGAACATGGTTTCAGGCCATGCTACTGCCCCCTGGAACAAGACGATGGTGGTAATTTATTGTACTTTAATATTTTAAGCTGATCATAGATAGATCGGTTTAACTTATTTTTACTGGTAAATGCTAAGGTGTTTCTTTTTACACAGCAGGCATCATCTTTACATATATTTCTTTTAGCGGTCATTTCGAAAAACTACTTAGATTTTTGAGTTTCACCATCAGCAAATGTTACCCGTTTCTCGACTAGGCGGAGAAAAAGACAGGATGCGACATCGACAAACGAAATCGAATATCGAAATTCCGTTCCAATATGTGTGTCTAAGTAAGAATATATACGTACACTTACTCGTAGACATGGCATTTGGAAATTTCCAGTAAAAATTGTAAATGCACTCATTAAGCAATTGAAAAGCCCTTTGCAGGTAATTAAATTTAATCGCTGTAAATAACGAATAGTTAGCAGCACGATTTTAATCATTATTGCCGGATTTTGCGAATAAACGAGAACATTGTAATTGCTTTTAATATGCGTAAAAATTATTATTTTTATATCTGTCCTAATTTTATCGTGTTCTACATACATCTCTAACAAAGAATTAAAATTATTTAAAAGGTTTATGAATATGACATCATATAATGTTGCGAGTAAGTCTATTATTATATTATATTTAAAAAATAACGGTTTACAACATCAAATACATTAAAATGAAACACTTTAACGGTTTAAAACGTATATTTTAGCTAAACTTATTTGAAAATGCTTTTTAACTTCGGCCCGACGTTTCGGATGCTTTGCAGCAGCCGTCGTCACGGGGAGAGTTAAGATGGAGTATGTCTCTGACGTCAAAGTAAATATTGCTACGCTAGCGCCATCTGTTCCGTCGAAGTTGGTATTTGGCGTAAGTGGCCCGGTCCTTGCACAATTGACTCACGGTGTCTTCGCTTTTGTGTTGTTAATAAAAACAACAGTATGAATTATAATGTAATTCATACTGTTGTTAAGTTTATCTACTGCCCATTAGTTAAAATATTTTAACTAATTTACTACTTATTTTGAACCTTTAAAGTGATATATTTAAATCTGTAGGTACGACTCGCACGACCTGCAGCCAATACTTTAGAGAAAGGTTTGTAAATTGACATTATTTTAATGTACAATGTAAAAGGAAAAAGATATAAAAAATAAAGACGTATTGTTAAAAAAACGAAGATAGTTGAAAGGTATTTTTGAAACACGTAGTTGCTTCAATATTTAAACAATATGCTGACACTTGCTCTGTTTTTTCTAGCTGGTTAATAATGACCCTATGGAGTCGTTAAGTGTCATTAAATATAAAAAGCTGTTGTTTTATACACCTGTAAGATCGCCCACGCTCAACTCAGGTAATTACTCAAGTGTATTATTAAGAAGCTTATTGCTAACTCATGGTCCCCTGGTGACCGTGGGCTTTTTAAGCTTCTCGCTTCTCTAGAATCAAGCCAACTATGTATTTTAAATTTAAAACCTGTTCTCTGCTTAGTTGTCAGGCAAATCTGGCTATTTAATTCATGTTTTAAGTTAAATGAAACACTTTTAACGATTTAAAAAGCGTAATATATATTTGTTAATTTATAATTGATTCCAAGTGTAGATTTTGGAGGCTTTTAGTAGTCCTGGCAACTGGAAAAAGTTAAGTATAGACTACATCTTACCTCACCAGTATTAGTATTGTAATACATATAAAAGTAATAATACTTCTATTCCTAGATTCCTCTATTTTCCTGTTCACATCGTGGTACGTAAAAATGCTACAGGAAACGTCCCCATCGCTACAAAAAGCTGCGCAAGATGGAATAACACTTATAGATCAATATCTATTCTCGAGAGCCGGTGTCATTAAACCGCGTTTTGTTACATAACTCAGAAGGGTTATTGGCACATTTTTAATTACATCGTATGACCGAGCAAAAAGCTCCTGTCGTCTTGTATTGTAGACTAAATTACTTTGATCGTCTGACTAAGTATTTAATTCAATTTGATATTTAGGTTCGATTTACTATTTAGCGACATGCAAAGAAAATAATTATTTAAATATTGAATAATACTTTAATTAGGTTTAAAAGTGTATTTCGCCTCAGTTTCCGAAGTTATTGGACTTTAGGTTTTTTTTCATTTAATATTTCTAACTATCTGATTAAATTATCTATGTTTAGTTGAAATCAATAAAACGTAGTTGGTTATTAAGCAACCTTAAACTAGTCGGCACATTATAATTTTATTTTTTACTTTGTAAGAGTCTAAGTCTAAGTCAAAAAAAGTAAAAAAAAAACACGCTAGAGCACTTAATTGTCACTACATCTAGAGCAGTGCTTCATACCAATTGCAGGACACAAATAAAAAAGCGTTCAAGGCGGACAAATAAGAACGATCCGTGTTTCAATCAAACCAAACCCATTATTACGTTGTTAAATCGTACGTGTACAATAAGTAATACATGAAAAAAAACTTTACAGCTTACATGTACTTGCATAGAGCGACTCTAGCGCCCATAGGTTTATTGTTGTCCAATTATACATAGGATAATGAATAATGCAATCTAATACAAAAACAAGAAATATTCGAGTTTCTTTTTTTTTAAACTGAAATTGTGTTAAAATGAATTTTTGATTTAGTAGATGGCTGAAGGACTCAATAGAGTCCAATAGTGTGCTACAAATTTCATAAAATTTAGGCATTATTTTTCTATGTGGGGTAGGAATTTTTTTGTACTCAACATTTCCAGGAAATTATTTCTTTAGATTTCTGTGCTCTAACTAGGTAAACTAGTGTGTTTTAGCGGATGTCGATTCAGGACGCCCCCGCTGGACGCAATGTTAGTCAATGTATTTTACCTTTGAACCAAAAGGACAACACAAAACTTCTTGAATTTATTTCGTATCATGACAAGAAAAATAATCTAAAAGTTCTAAGAAAAAATCTTCTTTTTTTCAGTTTTATTCTCAAGTTCACGTTTACTCGTCGCACTCTAGCACCGTAAATACGTAACTCATAAGGAAAAAACTAATACAGATTTCAATGTCAACCTGTGAGTCACTCACGCGCAACTTCTTGTGAATAATTTGTTTTATTCTAATTATGTAGAGTAGGACGCACGTGGACTGGTTTATCAAACGAATTTTATGGGTTAGGAAGTGTAGCGTTTTAGTGGAAGTTATTGTTTTCTATTTAATTCACTTTCTCTGTAGGCGCACTTAAACAAAATAGCTGTTTTTCTTTAAATTGATTTAACGATTACGCTGTATCGTATTTTAGGTAGCAGTGGACGCTAAATTGCATTTTTTCGTTATTTTATTAAAAAAAAAAATTCATAATCTTTCTCATAATATCTCAATTGGTTAGAGCAACAGCACGGTATGGTGTGGATGCCGCTTCAAGTCCAGCCCGTATAGTACATGTTTCCCACTCTAAAATTGATTTTAAATTTATAAAAATTATTCACTTACTGTATTATCAATTACAATAACGGTTATTGTTATTATACTAAACATTACAATTTGATGGCTAATATTACGATTTTTTTTTCTGTTTGTCAACCGAAATAAGGTCATTCGCTAAAATTCGATAAAAGCTTACATTGGGTCTTGGAATATAGAAATTAATTTATATGCAATAGGTCATTCACTCGGTGTCCTTAAAACATTCTTTAATTTTGAATCACCGAAATCCCAAATATTGTGAATGTGACGAGAATACATACAAATACTTCTTAGACTAGCCATCCGTTTCATCTAAACTTATGTATATAGTGATTGCAGGAGCAGATTAAAAAAAATACAATAATATGTTCCTATTTGCTCTGTATTAGCTAAATTCGTTTTTAAGTACACCTTTTAGTTTTGGGGCCTTCAAGATTTTGCGACTGCCACATAATATAAAAGAATGATCAGTATAATTATATTTTGCGTCTTAACCGTTTGAATTTTGTCACATATTATCTATTCAAGCTAAATTGCTAAATAAAATTAGAGATGCAAGCTTAAATATTAGTAAATTATCTTCGCAGTAAGCCCCATACAAATCTCGTATAATCGCGATTCTAAATATAGCTTTGCGAACGAATCGATACATCATCCTGACGACATCGATTAGCAATATCATTTATCGATTCAAATATCGATTTACAATCGAACCAATTATAAGTCAGGCCTTGTCATGGTAGAGGATGGAAATTTTAACATGGCCGACTTGGAAAGCATTTATTTATTTATTTACTACAACTAAAACGGCCTAAGCCAATTACATTAATTGTAAAAAAAGTGACAATGTGGACAAAGGAATATCAGAATATTCTGAACGCAAAATGTTTCGAAGGTTTATTTTATGAGAACAAGTTAAGAAATTAAATTTAAAGAGCTTAAGCGAACAAAAGATATACTTTAGTACAATCAACGATATATATAAAAATTCTTATAACTTGACAGGTTGCGATGTAGAGTGTCATGCTACGAAGTCACCCTTCTGTATCAAGTTATTTTCAATATATTAGTATCGTATATAAAAACAATAACTCGCAGTCAAACGTGGCGACACAGTATGAAAAGCTTTAGGGAAATATTAATATTAGTATGTTCTTTCTTTTGTTTTCATATTTATTTCTTTATATTAAAACCCAAACGAACAACGTGTTTGATTCGGTATTCGACTTAAATTAATCATAATTCAACTATTTAACTCAGTTATCACTCAAGTCCAATATTCTGGTTAAAGATGATCTGAGAGTAGATTTTCCACTTTTTCCCACAAACACGAGTTCATGAGTCCAAGCTGTCTGGCGACCTTGGGCCGCTGTATCATTGTCAAAAACCAGCTCCAAACAATGGCGCGTGGGATGAAGAAACAGTACGAACATTGGGTGTCTAATTATGAAATTTATTATGACATCTATTACGTTGTCTCGTTTTCGCAAGTTATACAGAAATGTGTGCAATCGCGTAAGACAATTACGTTACAAATATTTTCGGGTTTTCAGATCAAATGCTGCGAGAACGCTGGAAAACCTACTTGAGATGAAGCAAGAGTACATTAGATAGAAAGTTTACATTCAAGTCGACTTCATACTATTTATTCCACACAAAAGTAAATACAATCAAATTATACAGTATATAGTTTTAGAAAACCTATCCTAAGTTATAAAAAGACTTCATTGAATACTTTTAAGTTAATAACAAAAATGTCTAGCAGGGGAATTTCAGATGCCGCTTTCGTTGTGTAAAAGTACGTATAAAAAGAAAAAATATATTTTTGTGTTTATTTTTATTTTTATTTTTTTTGTCGATTTTATGTTTGTGTTAATTGTTTTAATCTAAACATTTTATGTTATC